TGGCTGATGCTTGCAGAGGAACTGGCAGGGGCAGAGCTCCTCTTTAGTACCATACCCTGAACATCTGCTGGTCTCAGGCTGGTCAGATAATTGATTCATGTGGATTTACTCGAGCATGGGGACACTTCCCTGCATCGTATGGGGATGCAGTTTAACTTTTCATGTGTTTTCAGAGCCCCTGAGAGGAAACTAAAGTAACGCCAACATGAAAGTTGTCAGCCTGCACAGCCTTAATGCATGTGTGATCCAAACTAGACTTGCAGGACTGTGCAAAGCTGACTGAAATTGCTCTCCCAGCTGTCTTTTTATGGAGGTTTCTCCGAATCCTTCATTTGACAGCAAGGAAATGTCTTATCTGTGTGTTTCCTTTGCAGGAAGTTCCACAAGAAGCTGGGCCAGCAGGCCTGGCTGGTTGCTGCTATTACTGCCACGGAGTTCCTGATCGTGGTCAAGTACGATCCCTACACTCTCACGCTCTCCCTGCCCTTCTACATCACCCAGTGCTGGATCCTGGGGATTATCCTGGTGCTCACCTGGACAGCCTGGCGCTTCTTCATCCGGTGAGTGGGGTGGGACGTGCTGCATTTGGGGTTTAGGGAGGTTTGTTCCACAGCCCCTCCTCTCCCGGGTGGCTGCGGCTCGCTTGGTGTGAAGTGGGAAATGGAATCAGGGTTTTATTTTCCCTTCAAGTTAGACCAGACTGAGGTGTTTCCAGCTTCATTGCCAGAACAGCCTGTGGTTTTCCGAGCTGTGCCAGTGTTGGGACAAGGGAGCCGAGTGAGATGTGTTTGGTTTGGATGCTGCTCTGAGCAAGTCCATGGAAAGCAGCTGCACAGGGCTCAAGGAACTGGTAGACTTCCAGTATTGGAAGGGACCTACAAGGAAGCTGGAGAGGGACTCTGCATGTGAGGAGGTGGAGTGACAGGACAAGGGGAAATGGAAATGGCTTCACAGTGCCAGAGTTATGTGGGATATTGGGAAGGAATTATTCCCTGTGAAGGTGGGGAGGCCCTGGCACAGGTTGCCCAGAGAAGCTGTGGCTGCCCCATCCCTGGAAGTGTCCAAGGCCAGGTTGGATGGGGCTTGGAGCAACTGGGATAGTGGAAGGTGTCCCAAGGCAAGGAGTGGCACTGGATGGGCTTTAAGGTCCCTTCCCACCCAAACCATTCCATGATTCCTTGAGCTGTGGTGATGTGTGCAGGAGGCAGCAGTGGCTGTTGTGTTGTGGCAGAGGTGAGAAGAGCCAGGCCACCAGCAAGAAACACAAAATTCCAGTAGCTCAGTGCCATCAGCACGTGTAGAAATGTGAGCCGAGGGCTCCAGTGGGTTGAGTTATCCCAAGGGAGCTTCATTCAGGGCAGGCTTCCTTACTGCTCGTCCTGCAAGCTAGAACTGTGTGCTGTGTGTTTGCTGCAGGGACATCACCCTGCGGTACAAGGAGATCCGGCGGCAGAAGCAAGAGCACAGGCACGAGAAGGACAAATGCCTGAGCAACGGGGACCGACACTCGGCACTGCTGGATGAGCCCAATGGGAACAAACCCCGGGAGAGGAAACTCTGAGCAGCAGCCACGGGGCTGACGGGAACTCGTGGTGCTCGAGCAGGCCTGGGGCACAGTCCCAACCTCATCCTAACTCCTAATTGTCATTGTTAGCATTCCAGCCTGTGGGAATCCCCTGGGGGAAGGATGACACGGACACACACCCCCCTTTCTCCTCATGTCACTGGAGAAGGTCTGTGTGGAGGGAAGTCAGAGCCAACACCGCACAACAAGGACCTCCTGTGGGTGCTGTGTGTCCTCTAAACCAGGTGTGGAGATGGGGGGGCTCGGAGCACAGCACACAGGGATCTGCTGCTCTGTTCCCAGAGAACTGTGAGAGTTCCACGAGGCGTTCGGGCATCAGGAACACTTCAGAGACCAGGCACGGGAAACGGATTCTTTCCTTCCTACTGAAACTACCTGGAGCTGTGGAGGAGGATTGGGTGAAGTGTTTGGTGAGAGGAATGCAGGTGGACTGAGCCCTGTGACCAAGCTGCTCCTTGCACAGGATGAACCACACTGCACTGCTGGTCCAGCCCCTCCACGGGGGATCTGACTGACTTCCGATGTCCTGGAGCGGCCTGTGGTAGTTTTGTGGTGTATCACAGCTCTGGGGAGACAGGCAGCTTCCCCTTAGCTCTTATTTTTAATTTACTCTTTTAGTCTTGGTCATCTCTTAAATGTAAGGGAAGGTGAAGTGAGAAAGGTCAACCTGCCTTCACTCTGCGGAGTAAAATGTGTCACAAGTGGAAACTGGGAGTTGCTCCGTCAGTCTGAAGTTATTTACCTTGTCCTCAGCTGGGTTTGTGTCCTCACCAGGAGGGTCTCACTCCTGGGCTCTGACAATACTCGAGCTCTGCCACCCTTCATCCTGTTCCTCCCGGGGTAGCTCCAGAGTGAGGAATCTCTTGAGTCCAGCTGGAAAAGCTGTTCCCTGCAGTCCCACACCCGGCCTCTGTCCCTGTGCCACCTCCCTGCCAGCAGCAGGCCCAGGCCAAGCAATGTGGCCAGGGAGGTTCTGAGCATCCTGAGCCAGGCAGTGTTCCCGCTGGTGACTCAGCATCCTGGAAAAGGAATTGAAAACCTGGGCTGCCTTTTTTTTTTTTTTTCCCCAGGTCATTATTCCAAACTGTAAGAGCTCCAGTGAGCACGGATTCTGTGCCGTCTGCTTTGAGCCCTTGCAGTGCTGTCCTGGGCACTGGTGTCACCCTGTCACTGCTTAAATGCTCTGATCCAGTCAGGCTGCCAAAGGGTGTCTCCCTGGGAAGTGTTTATCCAGAGGAAAATGACACGAAGGCCACAGTATAATTACGAGGGTGTAACCCCAGGTTTTGGAAGTGGCAGGAGCTTGCAGAGCCGCTGCCCGGCAAACGTCCGTGCGTTTGATCCGGTTTGGTCTTGTATGGGAATGACAACCAACAGCTGCTTTTTTCTCAGTTTTAGTGTCCCAGGTACTTCCCAGCCATAAAAAGTGGGCAGTGTGGAATTCTTGGATCACCAGTTGGGGTGGTGGTCAGGTAACCCAGGGGGACCTGTTACTGGGCACCCCTCCCACCAGAGGGCCTGCGCTGGCACCACCTGGTGAGGAATCCCTGCTGTGCCTGAAACATCCTGGAGATTTTTAGCTAATACGGGAAACACTGACTTGTCTGCATCCATCTGACAGCTGCCAGGGATAGCCTGGATCCTGCCTGTGTAATAAAGCCCAGTGTGCAGCATGTTCCCTGGGAAAATGTGTTCCCTTGGGTCCTCTTGTCACCTCACACGTGGAGCTGGGGGTCTGATGGGGCTTGGGCTGTGTGCCCACCCTCAGCACAATGGATGGATGCTGGATGCTGTGCCTCCAGGTAAGGAACACGTCCAAGTTTTCAGGGGAAAAAGGTGGGCTCTGATCACTGCAAACTCACCTGGATTTAGAATCCCTCTGTGATCACCCTGAAGTGCTCAAAGCAGCCTCATGGGGAGGAGGTGAAAGGAAGCTAACAGGCCTCATGGGAATGATGTTTGGGGTGGCCTAAAATAGGACTATTCCTTTGAAGAGGGCAGAGGTGGCAGGCTCCTCCTTCCACACACAGCTGTATCCAACTCTCCTGGGTCAGGAAGCTGGAACAAGTCTGTCCCACCTGTGGTTACAGCCTGACTTCATAATGATGCTGACCAAAGGTAAAAGTGTTGGCTTCAAAAGGGAGAAATGTTTAGTAGGTGAGTTGCTGCCTGTGTGAGGCTGGATAAATCCAGGCCCAGATGGGGCCTTGGGAGATTTCCAAACCTCTTCCCAACTCCATCCTGTTCAGAACAGCTCAGGGGGGTCACCTTTGCCCTGAGACTGGAGCCCTGCAGGAGAATTCTGGATCCTGGGCTGTGCCCTGGAGGGGACACCCTGCCACATCACTGGGGATGCAGAGGAAGCTTGGGAGCTGGGAAAGGACCATAGCCTGCTCTTTTCCAGCTGCACCCAGAGGAAGGGCCAGGAAGCCCAATGGAAAGGACCCTTGGCTGCCAGAAGAGGCAGCTCCCTCCACTCAGGCAACATTTTTGGCACAGTCAAAACTTGCTCTCTTTTCTCCCTGAAAATGAACTCCCCACCGGGAAGATTGTGGGACCATCCCCAGTGCTGCCCTACCTCGGAGCAGGGAGCTGCAGCAGAGGTTGAGCTGGCCCTGCATGGGTGTTCCTGGAAATTACAACTCCTCTGGAATGTCACACTGCTCCGTGGCCCCTGAGACCATCTTTACTCAGGGTGCCTGGGCTATACTCCCTACAAAATTGCAATTATTCCATTTTCTCCAAGCAAAGCGATTCTCCTACTGTCTGAAGTGACTCCTTAATGCCCTGGAAGTCACCTGGCATCTGAGGTAAGGTGGCTGAAAACATGGATGTGAAGGCAGGGAAACGGAAGATCCCCTGGGATGGTGCGTAGGCACAGTGTGGTCGATGGTCACGGTGTCACAAGTGTGGTGGGCACAGAGCCTTTGGTCTCCGAACTGCCCAAGGGGCTTTTTGGGCCAAATCACAAAAGGTTGCAACTTTTGCTGCAGAGGGAGAGGATCTGATGGGTTTTCTTAGGAACATCCAGAACCAAGACCTTGCTGGATGGCCTCAGGTGTCCCCAGGGCTGGGAGGGACACTTAACTGGAAGCTCTTTGGGACCTGAAGATTTGGCTCTGGGATGATGATCCACAGCCCCCCTCTGGCTTTGGGGGGCAATGGGAGGAGATGTGAGTCCCTAGGGAGAGAAACATTCATCAGGATCCACGAGGAGGAGGAGCTGGAGATGCAGAGGTGCAGTGGGATGGGCGAGGGCGTCCCTGGGCAGCACGAAGTGGGATTTGGGGGAGCCCCCTGTGCCCAGAGCTGCCTGCAAGCAGTCGAGGACCTCTGGTGTGGGATGAGGGAGCTGGTATTGCCCCTCCATGCTCCTGGCTGGGATTTGGGGTGGGTTTGTGGGGTTTAGGGTGATTTTTGTGGTTTTTGAAGGTTTTTTATGGCAACTTCCTAAGGAAAGCTGCCAGCCTGGGAGGCAAATCAGAGTGAGAGACCCCTGCATCCCCTCCCCGGGGTCTCCAGACCCCTCGCCCCCGGGCAGGGCAGAGCATCTCCCGCAGCCCCTGCGGGTCGCTTCTCCCCCGGTCCCCCTCTGCCCTGGGGGGATTTGGGCTGGGTTAAGCCAAACCCCGGGGAGGGTTTGGCGAGCGCAGAGACCGCCCAGCTCATCGCACGGATGAGCGGGCAGTGCCGCCCGGCTCCGCCCCGGGCTGGGCAGGGCGAGGGAGCGGAGCCGCTCCCACTCTCATCGCCGGGAAGCATCCCGGATTGCGGGGGGGCGGAGATCCCGGGCTGAACTCCCAAACCGCAGGGACCCCCGGGCAGCGGAGAGGGGGGCTCTGCCCGGCACCCGCCGCCGGGAAGCATCCCGGGAGGGAGGAGCTCCTTGGGTCCCGGGGCTGAGCTCAGGGACCCCCGGGCAGCGGAGGGGTCTCTGCCCGGTCCCCAGCGCCGTGGGAGTGGACCCCGGCGGTCGCCGCGTTCCCCCCGCCGTGGGAGCGGACACCCCGCAGATCCCCGAGGATTTGTACCTGTCCAGGTAAAGCACGGCGGGAGGAACCGGGCGGTACGGGTTGTGCAGGGTCTGGGATTCGTCGGTTTTGGTGCCCGTGGGGTGCGATGGGTCCCTGCGAGGGGCCGGGCAGGGCGGTGGGTGAGCACAGAGCCCACATCCTTGTGTTTTGGCAAGTTTGGGATGCGTCTTTATCTGTGCCAGGAGCAAACTCCATCCCACTTCTGTGCCCTGCGGATGGCGGCCAGGCAGGGCAGCGTGGGGATGGAAGGGGCTGGCAGAGCCCCGCCCGGGTGGGCACAGCCGCAGGACCAGTGTCACCAGTGAGCTGAGTGTAGCCCGGGCTCAGCACACCCGGCACGGGTGTCAGGGGCAGGGCAGGGAGGGATGGATGGGCAGGGAGGGATGGATGAGCAGGGAGACGGACTGGAACCTGGACTCTGGGACATTCGGGGACTGCAGCGTGCTCGGAGAGGGGTCGTACCCAGGGTCTGCAGCAGCTCCCAAGGAAAATGAAGCTGCCCCGGCCCTGAGCATTGGGATGTTGGGATGGATGGAGGGGGGCTCTGCACCCAAACCAGGGTTCTGCATCCTGTTTTGGGACTCTGCACCCCATTCTGGGGCTCTCTACCCCCAAACCAGGGCTCTGCACCCCGATCTTGAGGTCTGTGGGTAAGAAATCCACCTATCCCTGAGCTGCTGGCAGTGGGAGAATGGTGCCAGTTCCTTCCAAATCCCTCAGGTTTGATTTCCCAGGAATTTGAGCAGCAGGTCAGGGGGATGTCAGAGTGGCTCAGTGAAACGCTCCAGGGAAGAGCTTAGTTAACAAAAAAAGCCATAAATCCTTCCCCCAGCACCTCCACCTCCGTTTCCTCGCTCAGGAGAGGTTGATGCTGTTTTCCTGGTAGGAAAATGCCTCTGGATTTCGTCCTAGTGCTGAGAACCGCAGTCTCTTTCCAGGTGATGCCTCAGAAATCTGCTTAACTTGCTGCTTAGAGGAGGAGATTTATGGGAGGAGAAGCTCTGAAAGAAAAGGAAAATTAGAAATTCTTTTTAATTTCGAGCAGAAATTGGGAAGCGATGGAGGAGGTTTGTCCTCCTGCAGGAAAAGTCGGTCATGAAAACTTTGCTGTTTTCATATTAAAAAAACCCCAAACATTGGCAAACATGGAAAGGAATGAAGTTCCCATGCCCAAGCTTTTCAGGGGCACAAAAAGAGGTGGCAAATCTCCATCGTGTTGCTCTGTAAAGATGTTAGTTTTTAGCTCCAAACAGCAGAGTATCCCTTAGGCTGAGCTCAGCCCTTGTGTGACACGAGTTCAGCACGTTCTCAGCCGGGTTATTCCTGTTTCATCGATGGCATGGGGAGGTTTGTGCCAGTGGGAGGAGGCTGGGGAGGAGCTGGGCATCTCTCAGCCCCACTCCAGCTTCGCTGTCCTTTTGGGTTGCATTTAGGACCCCCCGTCCTCCTCCTGTTACCCCGACAGAGGGCTGCGTGTCCCTGCAGAGGGTCCCCGGACAGGCCAGGCCAGCACAGCTCATGTATTTCTCAATAACACTGTGACAGTCCCACCTTTGCCCATTAAAATCTAAACCTGGATGGTTTTGGGGAGGGTTGATCACCCCACAGTGCTTGAAGCTGTGAGCACCCGAGAGGAGCTGGAAGGTGAGACCCAAATATTGCGGGATCATCCATCTGAGGCCAACCCAGCTCCTTGTCCTGTGCCATGAGCAGGCTTTGGGGCTCTGGAAATTCTGGAGAGGGGCTGGGGGGCTCTGCGAGAGGGGCAGGGAGAGGATTGAGGTGCAGTGCTGATTGAGGTGAGTGCAGTGACCTGTGGGGGTCTGTGGGATCACATCAGTATCCCACGGGCTGTGATCTCCTGGCTCGGATGCCAGGGAGCATTTTGGCTCGGTTCCTGTTAGGTTTGCTTTGCTGGGTGTTTTGGGGGATCCCAAACCCCCTTTGTATAGCAGAAAATCGCTGTCTTGGGTAAATCCCCTTCAGCATCCGTGGTGCCTTCGCTGGGATCTGTCTGGAGGAGTAGCTTCCTTACCTTAGGATGGATCTCTCCTATGACTAGACTGGGAAAACCCCTTCGTGCGGGGAAGGTGCTGGAGCTTTCCCACTGCAGGAGCTGATTCTCTGGGGAATGGCATCACCTGCAGCAACCCCAAAATTGGGGAGTGGGACTGCCCCCCTCACCTGGGGCCAGGGCAGAGCCTCGGGAGAGTCTGGTCAAACTGCAGGAGGTGAAGGAAGGTTTAAGCTGGAAAAGCAGCAAAGGGCTTTGAGGGCTCCTGGAGGGGGGAAATGCATGCACAGAGCGGTTGGGAATGTCACCCATTAAACACTCCCGAGGTAAATTGAGCGGCCCTGCCTCTTCCCGAGTGGTTTCCATCCCTCCTCCAGCTCCTGCCGCTGGCTGAGAGGCTTCAGCGCGTTTGCTCAGTGCCTGGAAGAGGAGCCAAGGCCAGGAGCAGCAGAGGGGGAGCAGTGATGGAATGTTCACTGCAGGAAAATCTCGAGGCGTTCGGTCTTTGAATTATTTGCCTTCACCCTCACGCCGTGTCTCCGCATTCCAGGCCGTCCCGCTGGCAGGGGGTGTTTGCCATGGACACTGGGCATGTCAGCAGATCCCGCTTCAGTGGTGAGTCCTCTGGAGAGAGCCTGGCAAGGGTTTGGGGCAGAGCTGGCCGGGCTCACACTGAGGTTCTTTTTGGGGGGAAATGGCTGGTCCTCACTGCTTCCTATCAGGAGAACCCTCTGCTTCATGTGCCTGTGGGATTTTGTTTACTAAAATGTGGGTAAAACCCTTAAAGCCCCTAAGACATGGGGTTTAGTTTCCCGAAACAAGGGTCAAACCCTTAAACCCCCCAAGTTTTCCAACATTAATGCTCAGCCCTCAGAAATGGGTAGGAATGAGGAGGAAGCAGGTTCTAGTTCAGCTGGGATTTGCACCTGGAGTTACTCAGTAGTAGGAGCCAGTAAGGGATTATTCTGCCAATTTTATTTTTATACCCAGTTTTGCCTCTCTGTCGTATCATGAGCCTGGGAACACTGGCATAGGAAACCTCTGACTTCTTCCCCCAGCATCCTTAGCCGGGCTGCAGGGATAAATCAGAGTCCTTATGGGGTTTGGGGAGAGGTGGAGGAAGCAGGGCCTGGTTCCTACCCCGAGGTTTAACCCCTGAAATCCCTCTGGGCTGCTCCCGGGATCCAGATTAGGTGCTCAGGATGCAGATGGTCAGTTCCTTCTGCTCATCCCTTTCGCCGTTCCTGCCGGAGGAAGGCTGGGGGGAGCAGCAGGTTGTGCCTGTGCTCGGATGCGATGTGGGAGTTCAGCCTGGCTTTGGGCTTTTTCCGGCTCTGACGGAGGGAGCGCCGCGCCGTGATGCCGGAGGGCTCCCCGGCAGTGCTCTGGGATGAGAAATCCTTTCTTTTCCCGCTGTTTTTGTGCTCCCCGGAGCGGTTGGTGTCGGTTCCGCGCGGGAGTGATGGAGGCTGGTGCAATGCAGCAGGAACGGCTCGCTGGAGCATCGCTGCCGAGCCCGGCGCTCCCTCCCCGCTCGCTCCAGCAGCATCCGGAGGGCTCTGCCCCCTTTCCTAGCAGCTCTTGGGTTTGTTTTTCCCCTATTTCTGGATTTTCCTGGCATCCCCAGCCCATGGGGACCCAGGCAGAAGCGAGGGTGATGCAGATGTGCACTGGGCACATCTGTAAGTGGGACGGAGCCACAGCTGGCGAAGGGACCCCCGGCACCCCGGGAGTGATGTAGTCACTCTCTGGGAAGCGGGGCTGGGATGCAGCAGCACATCACCTCCCGAGAAAGTCACGCCAGAACTGTCCTTCTTTTGGCTGGCAAAGCCGCTGCCTGACCCGGGTGGGAGCTGTGGTTTAATCCCCTCGTGGCCCATCCCGTCCTCGGAGCTTGGAGCCGAGTTCCTGGCATGGAAGCGGCTGAGGCTGAAGGCTCAGCCCGGGGGTGGTGACGAGCTCATGGAGTCCCTTGTCCCCTCCAGTGGCCTCCAGCCCGCCGCGGTGGGAGATCGGGCTCTACACCGCCGGCGCCTTGGCACTGCTGGGAATCGCAGCCATCAACCTCTGGAAGCTCTGGCGTTCCGGCAGCTACCCGGCCCCTTCCCCCTTCCCAAACTATGACTACCGGTACCTGGAGCAGAAGTACGGAGCCGCGTATCCAGACGTCAGGCACAAGGTAAAAGGTGGAAAGTCGAGGTTGGTCTCCTCTCCTTCCCTTTGCAGCATGCGGGACGCTGGAAGGGTGAAAATATCTCCTGGCTCCCAGTGGGAATGGCCACGGGCAGTGACCTGGTGCCAGTGGAGTGTTTAGGGGAATCAGTGGAGCCGGGAGCTGCGGGAGGCACTGGGCTCGCTGCCGCAGCAGCTTGAGGCCAGGCGGGGGCCGGGAGGCATCCAAAGAGGGGCCGGAGAAGCTCAGCTGGAGGGACGGGATGGCATTGCCTGGTTTCCTTTCCCTGGCAGCGAGGCCTGGCCCCGGGCTCGCAGCGGACGCTGGGTCAGAGCACTGCCAGCCGCAAGAGCAGCCTGAGGGCAGAGGACACCTTGGAGAGCATCCAGGAGCTGGGCAGCCTGGAGCTGATGGGCAGAGACCTGGGCCTGGCCCACTACGGCCCCCTGAAGAAGTCCATCTCGGCCGACTCCCTCAACTCCATCTCGTCCATCGGGAACAACTTCGGGCAGGATTTCACGGTGGGGCAGGTGGAGGTGTCCATGGAGTACGACGGGAGGGCGGCCGCCCTGCACGTGACGCTGCTGCAGGGCAAGGACCTGCTGGAGAAGGAGGATGGGCGGTTCGAGTCCTGCTTCATGCGGATCAGCCTCCTCCCGGCCGAGCAGATCGTCGGCATCTCTCGGGTGAGTCCCCCCAGTCCCCCAAAGACCCCCAGCATGGATCACAGGGCCTGGGAGTTTGGGTGGCAGCATCTCTTGGGCACAGGGTGGGGGGTTGGGAGCAGGGAGCTCCAGACACACTGGATGTGGTTGGCATGGGCTTTTGGGAGTCTCAGCTTCCCAGGACAGTGACTGGGGTTTGGGAGCAGGAAGCTCTGAGTGCATCAGGACTGGATGTGGTTGGCATGGGATTTTGGAGGGGGGTGTCCCAGGTGGGTTTGCACATCAGAGGCTTGGCAGAGGCAAAGGTGTCTCCCCTTTGGCTGCGATTTGGGCTGGCTTTGTCGTCTCCGAGCGTGGTTGGTGGCAGGTTTTCCTGCTTGAATTGCCCTGCTCCAAGTGCCCAGGGATGCAGTGGGAGGTGGAAGAAGTGGCCTGGGGCGGGACTTGGGGGGCTTGTGCCTTACCATGGTCCCACAGCCCCCTGAGTCCCCACAGCCCCTGCAATCCCTCTCCCGTGGCAGATCCAGAGGAGCGCCTACGCCGTGGCCTTCGACGAGCGCTTCTCCATCCCGCTGGACCCGGCGGCACTGGAGGAGAACAGCCTGCGCTTCTCCGTCTTCGGCATTGACGAGGACGAGAGGAGCGTCAGCACCGGTGTGGCCGAGCTCAAGCTGTCCGACCTGGACCTGGCCGCGCGACCCTTCAACGCCTGGCTCTACCTGCAGGACATGAGCAAGGTGAGCCAGGGTGGGGGGTTGCCCCATCTCCCACCTTGGGTGGTTTCTGGGGGGCTCCCAGGGGTCAGTGGGTGATGGGGCATTGTGTCCCGCAGCCTGTGGACACGGTGGGGGAGATCCTGCTCTCCCTGAGTTACCTGCCCACGGCCGAGCGGCTCACGGTGGTGGTGGTCAAAGCCAAGAACCTCGTGTGGAGCAACGGCAAGGTGACCGCAGGTGAGGGGGCCAGGGGAGGACAGGTAGGTACGGGGGGCCTGTGGTGGGCTGGGGGGGCAGGGGAGTTGTCCTGGTTTGTGCCACTCTGACTACACAGATCTTTACTGGAGTGGCTCCTGTTGAGGAAGGGCCACTAAAGAGGGTCCCCCCCCTTTCTCCACATCGCTGGGGACATGTGTGACTAACCCTGGGGCCTCTCCCTCACCTCTCGAGCAGATCCCTTCGTCAAGGTGTACCTGCTGCAGGACGGGAGGAAGATCAGCAAGAAGAAGACAGCGGTGAAGAGGGGGGACACCAACCCTGTGTTCAACGAGGCCATGATCTTCTCCGTGCCGGCCATCGTGCTCCAGGTCTGGCCCAGCTTTTGTCAGGGGGGCACATCCCATCACTCCTTGATCTGCCCAAACCCTCCAGTGGGGACTTTCAGGAGGATGACGGGTTCTGGGGGGATGCTGGTAGCTGTGGGGACCATGGATGTGCAGGGATGGTTTGGGGGTGTATGAGCAGGGCAGGGTGGGGAGCAGACATGGGGAGGGGCTTTTTGGGGGGGGATGTGGGTATGGGTGACTTCTGGGGGATTTTGAGGGGGGGTTGTTTGGAGGGGTGTGGATGTGTGGGGGCTGTTGGAGAGAATGTGGATGTGTGGAAGTGGCTGGTGGTGGGAACTCTTGAGGGGATGGGGATGTGCGGGCTGGGATATAAGGTGTGCATATGTATGGGGGGGGTGGTTGTGTCTGTGGACAGGGGCATATCTGGGTGTAGGGGATGTGGGAGAAATAGGAGCATGTGTAAGCATGGAGGTAGAGGAGGGTGTATATATAGTGGTATGGGGGAATTGGGGGAGGTTTCAAGTACAGAGAGTGGGTTTGAACAGAGTGGGGGCACAGAGGGCCATATGTGGGGTACAGCTGTTTTGGGGGTAAATTTATAGGGTGGGGGATGTATGGCTGGTCTGTGTGCATGTGTGTGTGTGTGCACTTAGGAAGAGCACAGGGATACGTTCCCGGGGGGGCTGGTGTGTGGTGACACCGCTGTGCCCCCCAGGAGCTGTCCCTGCGCGTGACAGTGGCTGAGAGCAGCGAGGACGGGCGCGGTGACAACACGGGCCATGTGCTCATCGGCCCCACAGCCAGTGGGATGGGAACCACGCACTGGAACCAGATGCTGGCCACGCTGAGGAAGCCCGTGTCCATGTGGCACCCACTCCGCAGGAATTAGGGGGGCTGCTGGGGGGGCTGCACCCCAACACCGGCTCTGCCGGGCACAGCGAGGCCCGGAGCCGCCAGGCAGGGGCCAAGTGGGACTCTGTGGCACCCCAAAGGCCGAGCTGCCGGCGCCTCAGAGGGGCAGCTCCTGCCTAAACACCCAGAGGATGGATGGAGCGATTCTGTGGCTTCATCTTTGCCCTCCTGAGTCCCCCACGCACAGGGACTGCAGACAGACCCACTGGGAAGGAGCCCAGACGGACCAAAACCAGCCAGAACCTCCCCAAATGGCTGGGCTGAGCATCCCAGCGGCCTCAAAAGCAGTGGAATCCGCAAACATGGACTCTAAGGCTGAAGGGGAGAGGGGGGATTCCTTTGGAATGTGGGGTTTTTTTGAGGGGGTGGTAAATGCCAGCATGGCGTGGCTCCTCTCGGTGCAAGTGGTGATCCTGGGGGGATTTTTAAGAGGAGTTTTGGTGTGTTGTGCTGGGGATGGAACGTTTCCAATGAGAATGGAAAAAGGGAGCAATAACAGCAGAAAAAGCAATTGTTATTACATATGGCTTCTCCTTCCATCTGTTTTCCCCCACAGTAAATCCCTGCCCGTCTCCACTGGCTGCAAGGACGGGGCTGGAAGTGGTTCCCAAGCCCTTGGGTTCGAGGGTGACAGGCAGAGGGCTCCACTGGAGCCCCTCGTGGCAGAGGATGCCCTGGGGCCACATCCCCCCTTGCCTGGAGCCTCGGCTTTTCCCTGCCTGCAGGATGCTGGTGGAAAGCCAGGCTGGGAAATCTGGGGGCTGTATGCCAGGAAAGCAGCATGAGCACAGACTTGGGATGTGGCTGTTTGGATGATCAAAAAAAGTGGGAATGAGCCGTTTATCTGTTTTCCCCTGATTAAAGGTGACTCTGAGGTGAGTTACCCCATGAGCTGGTGGCACTTTTTCCTTCTCCTCTGTCCTGCCTGCCCTTTGCTTTGGGACAGGGCCGTCATGTCCCTGTTCCATCATGGCCCTCCTTTCCTGTATGTGCCCGTCTCTGCTCGCCGATGCCCAATTTCCCTCTCCTGTGCTCCATCTCTTCCTCCTCCCCACCTCCCCCTCCAGCAGCCCCCCGTCCCATCTGCTGCCAGGTGAGTTGGTGCCATCGCTCCGTGGCTGACGCACGGCCGGCTCCAGGCACCAAGGCATGAGCCAAGGATGGAGGGGCTGGAGGGATGAGGTTTTCTGAAGGATGAGGAAGGCTTTTGGGAAGTTGTTCACAACCAGTACTCATAGGTCCTGAGGTCTGGGGGAAAATTTTCTTATTAGTTACCACAGCCAGCATTTGGGAAGAGACAGATACAGAAATCCTTGGCTGTCCTGCAGCTCCTGCCAAGTGCTGAGCCTTGCTCAGGGTGAGGTAAGTGACTTCCACAGCTTCTGGAATCACCCGTGGGCAACATCAGCGATGTTCAGCCCCAAAATGATGGGGACCACGTGGCTTGGGGCTGTTTATTGTGCCCCTCTTTGGCCATTCGTCTTTCAAGGCACCTCAGCACCTTTTCCTTCATCCTGGGGACAAAAAAATGCTGCTGGAGCTATTTTTGGCAGGGATGGATGGACCCTGTGAGTGGGACTGGAGCCACTAAGGAGAGGGGACAGGGCAGTGGCTGTGTGGGGATGGAGAGAGGCTTTGCAAATTGGGGTCTATGGGCAGGAAGCAATGTGGGAGATGAATTAGTTTGGGGGGTACAGGATTGGGAAAAGATCTGGGAGGGACATGAGGCTCCCTCGTGCCTGGGGGGGCTGCACTGCCTTTGCTGCTGTGGGGTTCCCAGCGGATCCTGGTGTCCCAGGAGCTCCCCAAGCCCAAAGCAAGCCCAGAGCAGGGCTGAGCCCCCTCCCAAGGCCCTGGCCTGGGTGGGAGGGCAAGGGGCAGCCATGAGGGGTTTGGGCTGTGCTGGCTGCGGTGCGGACGTGCCTGGTTGCTCTGAGCAGTGCCGGAGGATTGCTGGGCTGGGATGCATTTCCTTAGTCACCCTCCCCGGGGGCAGAGGGTCACCTGCGGTTTTCGGTGCCTCCCACTTTCCTGCTCCCAGACATCCATCTTTTGCTGCCACAGGGACCAACGTGACAGTGACAGCTCATTGCTTTGGGTGTTTAATGCCTGTCAGACCGGTGAGCTCCGGCCTCTGTGAACATCCATCACCATGTCTATACGGATAACCAGGACAATGCAGCAGCATTCCCTCCCCAAATCCCTCCCCAGCCCCTGGCTCCAGGCTGTGTCCCCCTCAAAATTGAGCCCCCCACTCCCCCCAGAGCTCAGCAGCTGTGGCCTGTGATGGCTGAGCAGCGGCTCCAAGGTTCAAAAGGTGGGATTCAGGGCCCTCATTTCTCCTTGTCTTTCTTTCTGCCCTTCCTCTGGCTCGTCAGCTCGCTCAGCTTCTTGTCCAGGCGCCGCTGGAGGTGGGCTCGCTTGGCTGGGTCCAGGGATTTGTCCTTGGAGCCGCTCCCGGGATACAGGACCCCTTCCCTGCTGATCCGCTGCCGCGCGTGGGCCTTGGCCTTGTCCCCACAGCCGTGGACCTGCAGGGGGAGAACAGACATCCGTGGTGGCTGGGAAGCAGGGCAGGGATCAGCCACCTGGGAACCAGGGCGTTCGTTCCCAGAGCCTGGAATTCCTCTGCCACCTTCACATCCCCCTAAAACCACCTCATGTTGTTGGTACCCATAAGTGATATTATTATTTATTTTTAATTATTATTTATTATCTATGTTTATTGTTATCTATTGTTCATTATTACATTATACATTATTACGTCATTATATATTATATATACTACATATACCCATAGATTTGGGTTTATTTTAGTTTTTAGTTTAATCTTCATTTTATTAATATTTATATTTATTTTTAAACTCTATAGATTTATATATTTTATATTATAATAATTATTTATTGTTCATTACAATTCACTTTTATTATTAATAATAATTATTGATTATTGTTATGTATTTTATTAAACCATCATTTCTGCTTTAGAACAAAATATAAAGGGGATTCTTCTCCTGGACTGCACAGCAGGTAAATCCTTTGGGATGATTCAAGTGGCTCCTTCTGCTTATATTATTATATATTAATTTTTATTATTGTTTACTATTCATTATCATTATTTATTCTTAATAATAAATTGATGCTTAATACTATTATTTATTCTTATGTATTATTGTATTTTGTTAAAACATCATTTATAGCTGCTCTCACAGAAAACAAAATATAAAGGTGCTTTTACTGCTACTGGACTCTGCCCAGGCAAGTAAATCACCCTTTGGGATGTTTCAAGTGGCTCCTTCCACTTCCTTTCCAGTGAACTGGGAAAAGCAATTTGGGGAATGAGAGACCTTTTTAGCCATGGATCTGCTGCTCTCATGTAATTTGATCTGTCTCCTGCAGTGGAATTAAAAAAACCTTCATAAAGCTCATTCTGTGCAGGCAGAGCTCTCCCAGTCCAGCTTGTGCTCCAGCCCTGGCCGTGCCCGAGGGGTGTGGAGCCAAATCCAACACCAGAATCATCTCCCACAGGTGAGATCCCAAAATCTGACCCCTTGTCTTGGTCCACCCCAAAGTCATTTATGCTTCCATGAACTGGGGTCCCAGAGAGCCACAACAAACCTTCCCATTCCTGTCGGGGGGCTGGAGCAGTTTGTCCATGGCTGGGAACAGCCAAACCCAGGTGTCCCTGCCAGGATCAGGATTTTGGAGCCACCACAGCTGACAGACACCCCCCAGATCCTGTAAAAGGGGGCTGGAGCTTCCCTAGGGAGGGGATCAGCAGCTGGGGGCATTTTGGGGGGCCATGAGCTCCTTCCAACAGGGACCCTCAGCACACAGGGGCTTCATCCCACTGGGATGGCTCCAGGTATGTGCAAGCCCCCGGGCCAGAAGCTCCAAGGGCTATTCCACATCCAAGCCTGATAACATCTGGGAAAAAGGATGGACTTTTAAAAGCAAGGAAAACTGTCCAAGAGGGATTTGAATCCCCACAATTGTTCCCTGTTAGAGGCTCATTACAATTCAGCAGGGAGAGGCGATTCTACAGGGTATAAATTTACATCCCACTGGATGGTGAGTGACCATAAATACAGCTATTCTTTGCCATGGAAACAGATAGCTCCTGACAGGGGGAAACGCTGTGCCAAGGATTTATAGGGCTGCTGAGCTCCAGGAGGCTCCACAGGGCACGGGACTGTGCCTGGGAGCTCCAGTGAGAGGAAAAGAAGGAAAAGCTCTTGGGAAGAGGTGAGCAGAGCCCAGGTGTGGCATGTGGCAGCCCTGTGTAGCTGCAGTTCAGCACAGACTGTGACAGGGAGGGCTCTGCTGAAACCCTCTGCAAGGAAACCCCACCCAGGGAGCCCTACAGGGAAAATTCCCAGGTTAAACCCGCCCTACTGTACCTCAGGGATGTGGTGGCTGAGGCAGTAGCAGCGGTGGCAGTGGTGGCAGAGCTGGCCCAGGGTTGTGACAGAGGCTTTGCAGCGGGGGAAGGCACAGGTCCTGTCAGCCTCCATGGCAGCGGAGATCAGAGCGTTGAAATCTTCTCCTGCTCCGCTCCCCACCGCTGGCTTTCCTGGGAAAGGTGAGCAGACACCTGGATTGGGGACTGGCAACAAACCCACCCACCTACAGCCACAGCCTGGGCTGCCTCTGCTTCCTTCAGTGTGGGCTCCCTTGGCTCCTGTCTCTACATTTGGAAGTCTCCCATGTAACCCCAGAGCCTCTTTCCTGGGAAAGGGTCCCCAGTGTTCTCCTTCTGACTTAAGGAATGTTCCTGCAGGTATCCAAACACCTCTCCCCAGATGCCGTAGCCAACCCATGCAGGTTCCTGCCAGTTCCCACCCCTCTGACAAGCACCAGGGAGCTTTCCAAGAACCACATACTTCGTGCACATAGGCAAATCCCAAGGTCCGGAGTAAACTCATAGGGATTAAGATTTCCTCAAGGAAGAGTATTAATTGTGCTGCTTATGAAAAGCTTGACCTACCTTTGGCTTCGCTTTTGTCCTTCTTCCTGCTGCTGGTGCTGGGCTCCTGCGCCTTCCTCGCCGCCTCTTCCCGTCTGGCCTTCTCCCTCTGGACTCTCTCCAGGTGCAGGGATTTCAGGTCCACTTTCCCCGAGCCCTCACTGCTCCCCCCCGGCTCCGCAGGGACAGGGGTGTTCCCATCAGGATGCTGAGGCTCTGGAAGGGGCAGTGGGGGCTCGGGGGGCAGTGAGGGTTCCACGGGGTCTCTCTTACGAACACTGATGTACCTGTCCCGGCCCTCCCCTGAGCTCAGGTGCTGCAGCCCATATTCCTCCGCCAGCAGGTGAACCAGCATCCGCTCGTGGGAATTCAGGGATGGTGGGAAATCCAGCTGCACCTCGCCGCTGGCCAGGAAGGCCACCAGCATGGTCCTGAACCTGTCCCCACCATCCTTTGTCCCCGAGTCTTCTCTGCCAGCTCTGCCGGTGTTCCGGGAGGAATGTGCTCCCTGTTTCTGGCTCCCTGCTCCGGCTGCCGCTCCTGCCTTTTGCTTCCTGCCCGGAGCCGGCTGCGGTTTGGGGCCAGATGGCGCGGGTGGTTTCGGGCCCTGTTGCCGCTCGCCCCGGCCCTTCCCAGAGTAGTTCTGGGGCACGAGGTCATCCAGGTACTCAAAGGCGGAGCGGACGTGGCCGTGCTGGGAGAAGTGCTCCAGGAGCCGGCGCAGGAAGGGCTGGCTGCCCACGGTGTGGCTGTCACACACCACGGCCACGTGGCGCCGTGCACGCGTCACCGCCACGTTGATCCGCCGCTCCTCCGCCAGGAAACCCACCTCGCCTGGGAGAGGGACAGGAAGGGCCGTGGGAGGGATGGAGCCAGGTGAGGGGGCTGGTCCCAGTGACCCAAGGGTTGCTTGGTGGAAGGGTGGGAGTCGGTGTTTATAAGATCCCCTGATACCATCCCATTCCTCTTTCTACCTGTGTTCCACCACCTGCAGCCAGAGCCAGAGCTCCACACAGAGCTCCTGGGAGAGCAAAGAGGATGAAAGGCACATGGAGAGAAGATTTTCCCCTGGCCAGCCCACAACACAAGATCAGGTTGGATCTGGGAGCGAACGCAATTATGGAGCAGCAAAGGCTCACCCTGTGACAGAGGAGGAACTGCAGGTAAAGAACTTCCCCCTTCTGTCCTACAGAGCTCCCACATTCTTGGAGGGTCTAAAGGAACAGCCCGTCAGGAACTCGGGGATGTTTCCCTCTGCTCACAGAGCAGCAGTGCTGGGATGACTCAGGGAGGATCAGCCAGCGAGCAGGGGAGCGTGGGTGGCTGCCGAGCTCCAGCTCTGGAGAATAGAGAGGAGGCCAGTCGGAAAGAGATTAATGCCTCAGCCTGGCTCTGCTCCTGCCGTGCCTGAGCAGCCTCATTTGTGCTGCCTTTGAGGAATGGGGTGAGGGTGAGCCCCTCTCCGGGCTCTGCAGCTCAGAGAACCATTCCCAGCTGCTCTGATGTGGTTTAGCCTGGCTAGAGGGACAAGTCCAACTCCTTTCATCTGGGAATCAGAGAATCCTGGAATGGTTTGGGTTGGGAGGGACCTTAAACACCAACCAGTCCCACCTCCTGTCATGGGCACAGACATCTTCCACTATCCCAGGTTGCTCCAAGCCCCATCCAACCTGGCCTTGGACACTTCCAGGGATGGGGCAGCCACAGCTTCTCTGGGCAACCTGTACAAGGGCCTCCCCACCCTCACTGGGAAGAATTTCCTTTTAAAAGAAGGTTTCCTGCTGGACCAGGAATGGTGGCAGAGGGACAGTCAAGGTCCCTGGCCTGCTCTGAGTGGAGAAATGCAGCTGCAAGAGGTTATGGATTTCTCCCAAGGGACTCAGAGAGCACCAGTATCATCTCTTGTACCCCCTGCAGGAAAAGCCTCCCTGTGCCCCCAGGAAGGCAATTCCTGCCCCACTTATGAGCTCTGGCTGCTCCCTGAGCAGGGAAAAGGGCTGAGGACACCCACCTTCCTGGGACACCAGCTCCCACCAGCACAGGGGTGAGTCACTCCTGGATAAGGACTATTCTTAGTGCTGTCCCCACCTCCATGCTCCCCACAATGCTGCTTTTCTTCCTCTAGGCTTGGAAAAAAAGGTACCCCCTCCTTCCATGCGTGCTTTCCCTCCTTTTTTCCCCCCTTCCTGCCATCAGCACTCAGCATTTCACCTTCAGCAGCACAGGTAGGGCAGCAGGGCTGTGCCTCCTGTGGCTTTGGAAAGGGCAGTGATCCCTGCATGGGACAGAGGGGTCCTGGAGCGCTCCACAAACTCCTTCCACTTCCCCACAGGAGCCTTGTGCCCCCAGGGCAGCAGCTTTTTTCCAGCTATTAACTTTCTCTGAAGCTGCTGATAGGAAAGAACTCGATTTTCTGCTCTAGATTTTGCTCCCAAAAGCTGCATTTTCCGTGCATGACTTGGGATGCCAGCTCCTGTTTGCTTTCTGCAGGGAACCGACCCAAAATTGGCTTCAAACCCAAGAAACTACCCCCCAGCTCCAGTAAATGTGGGGCTAGTGGGATGTGATGTTATTAATATTATCATCATCATCATAATCATCATTCTTATTGTTTCGTTCAATCATTTCTGAGGCCTCAAGAGCCAGGAAACCTTCAAACTGAGCAGCCCTGGTCCCCTTGTACCTGCTGTACCATGGGGAGCCTCCTCTGCAACCCCGACAGCAAATATATACATTAATTAAACAAAAAAGGCTGAAAAGGGAGGGTTTTGCCAGTAAATCCCTTCAGAGCCAAGTCCTAGAGCACTGCAATTAAACCACAGTGCTTGGCTGCACGACTTCCTTCCCATTCCCCACGGAACCACACTCCAGCAGCGAGCTCTTACCTTTCCTGTTGGATCTGACAAAGGACAGGATCACTGCCTCCTTCTCTCTTCCTTGGAAACCATCGACTGATTTGATTTCCAGCTCGGGGTGGCTGTGACAAAGGTGCTCTCGTAGCATGTCCACCTGGAAAACAGGCCACAGGTAGCTTTTAAACGAGAGACAGAGGTGAAAAGGGTTAAAATGGCACAATCTGGGGGAAATCCCTTCCTCCCAAACCCACATCATGCTGGCATCTCATGGAGGTCAGGTGATGATTCCTGAGGGTGGGAATGGTGCATTTAACTAACATTTCCTTCCTCCAGG